GAGAATTGTGGTCCGAATCTTCAAATTGCTCTTGAAAAATTTGCTGAACGATATAATGCGGCAAAAGCTAAATCAATTCCTGTATTAACATCATTTCTTTATGATATTAATTAGAATGTTGACCCACTTGCACGTGTAAAAAGTGGTGCTAAAATTTGAGTGCAGGTTGAATCAGTAAAGCATCGAAAGACTTACAATAAAGAAAATACTGATCCTCATATTATTCCAGCACATAAAGTTCGAACAGTTAAAAAAGTACACAATCTTAGTAAAACTATTGATGAGAATCAATAACTTTTAGTTAGTAAGAGTCAGTCGTATTGATATTTTAAGTATTGCTATGTAATAGAAAAGTTAGTTTTTTGGGTTTAGTATACAATACTTTATTTTGTAACTATTTCAATATATAACTATCATTAAGTATCAATGCATTATTAGTGATATTAAAGCATTTGTTATAGTGTAAACTCAGATATTGGCACTATCGCTTCACAATATATGTGTACTAATTTTAAAGTAATTATTACATTTTGATAAATTGTGAAAATTTGAAGTTATATTTAAATAATTACTGTATATCGAATATTTAAGTATTTCTAACTACTGGATTTTTTTAAAATATATATATTTTGGAAAGTAGGTTTTTTAATATGATGAATCGAGGAAAGAAACTTGTAATTTAGGAATTACTCATTTATCTAAAAAAATTTTTTGAATACATTTCGAATAGCTATAGAATAGAGGCCGATAATCTAATTTTAAGTATTGTGGCATAACATGTAATATTTACTAATCTAATTAAGACAAAGATAAGTTTTTCAATGTTATAGAATATATTTAGTTTAAATATTTATTACTAAGCTATACTAATCTTTTAATATTAACTCCAGTTATTCTATCAGTATAATATTACTAATATTAATGTTTTTGAAGATTGCGCAAGAACATAGATATTTTCTTTGTAAACTTTCAATTAAAGATATACTCTAGCTATGTTTATATTGAATATCATTTGTTAGTTTAGCAGAAACTACTCATTTAAAATAATCATTTTGAGAAATTATTGTAAATCAAAAATCTGATAGTAATTTAGTTTTAAACCATAACGCTAACCTTAAGGTTGAGACACTCGGAATATGGGCAGTTTTATTAAAATTTAACATCGTAATATATGCTTCAATTATTATATTAGGATTTGGTTAGTATAAAATTTTTTATGTCTTTTTTATGATTGCTAGATTAACATATTGTAATGCTAAATAAAAGAGCTTTGCTAACAAGATAATCTGACAAACGTACAAGCTCTGTTTATTTTTTAATTAATTCGAATTTATTTATATCGATATGCAATATATATATATGTATACAGTATATATATATTTATTTATTTCTAAATTATCAAT